TTCAAAAGTGCCTAAGGAGCTTTGGCACCTAACTCCCATTGATTTCATTGATGGACTTAGGCATCTAACCTGCTTAGGCACTTTTGAAAATCCCACTAGGCATTTCAAAACTATTGAAAATCTGTCTGTGACTTGCCTAAAGGAGTCTGAGGAGCTGGGAATTCAACCCTGGTCTCTTAAGAACAAGGACAGCATCCTGACCACTAAATCTTTCTTGCTCTCCTTTTTGTAAACTACCAAATATCAGATTCTGTTTCTCCATTAAACATGGGAGCCTGAGCCTCTTAAATGTTCTGGGCCACATTTAGCCCCAGAAAAAGGAGGAAGATTTCCCATTGACCTCCACGATGAAATTAGGTTCCTGGTCCTCACGGTCAGAAAATAATCCTTTACTGACTCCAAAGGAGATTCCTAAGCAACAAACTCTAAAACTGAATTTAAGTCTCATGGTGGTGTCAGACATCTACAATACATTTACATATGTCTTTATGAGTCAACAATGTGCTATGAGTCAACAGTGTGCCCTTTTCGCCAAGAAGGCTAACGGCATTTTGGGCTGTATAAGTAGGGGCATTGCCAGCAGATCGAGGGACGTGATCATTCCCCTCTATTCGGCATTGGTGAGGCCTCATCTGGAGTAGTATGTCCAGTTTTGGGCCCCACACTACAAGAAGGATGTGGAAAAATTTGAAAGAGTCCAGCGGAGGGCAACAAAAATGATTAGGGGGTTGGAGCACATGATTTATGAGGAAAGACTGAGGGAACTGGGATTGTTCAGTCTGCAGAAGAGAAGAATGAGGGGGGATTTGATAGCTGCTTTCAACTACCTGAAAGGGGGTTCCAAAGAGGATGTATCTAGGCTGTTCTCAGTGGTGGCAGATGGCAGAATGAGGAGTAATGGTCTCAAGTTGCAGTGGGGAGGTCTAGGTTGGATATTAGGAAAAACTTTTTCACTAGGAGGGTGATGAAGCACTGGACTGGGTTACCTAGGGAGGTGGTAGAATCTCCTTCCTTAGAGGTTTTTAAGATCAGGCTTGACAAAGCCCTGGCTGGGATGATTTATTTGGGAATTGGTCCTGCTTTGAGCAGGGGGGTTGGACTAGATGACCTCCTGAGGTCCCTTCCAACCTTGATATTCTATGATTCTATGAATATGGACAAAGGTTAGAAACTGTCTTCAAAAATATACCGTCATTGTATCTGGAAGAGAATACACTGTTACATATTTCTTAATGCTCCTTTAGCCAGTGCTTGAGCCACCCCTGAGTTGATTTCTTAGTTGATTGATATGTCAGATGTCATCGATTTGCAATGTTTTAATAATTTCCCCCTCCATTGTAGCTAATTTCTGTTCTCACTGCATTGATAGAGAAAGATTTCTATCATATTTCCCTCATATTCTGTAATATGATGAACCAGAGACAGTCCCTTCTAAAATTCAGGAAATTTCTTGTCTCCTTGTCCAAACTGGAGCATGGCATCACAATGTAAAACACGGTGGATCACTGTGTATTTTAAAAAGTCTGTTCTGAACGAGAGGCTAGCTGGTGGAGCTACGGACAAATATGCTCTTCTGGAAGAATTGAGAAAAAATAAAGAAACAAAACAACAAAAATTTTGGAACTAACACGATGTCACACCCTGTTTGTTTGGAACTCTCTCCCAGAAGTGGTCTGCCAGAATAATTCACTGGCTGCCTTGGATGATTCAAATCACACGCCCTGCAAGAGACTCATCCCTGAGGGATTTGGGGCCCCTCCCCTGTTCTCTTGGTTTACTGTGTCTCATGTCTTTCCATCCCCATTCTTTCGGTCAATGAGGAATCAGTCCTGTTCACCTGGTAAGGTGGCTTCCTCATGATTATGGGGTTGATTCTTGTGCCAGGGATCCCTGCCTTTGAAAGCAGGGTTACTTTATTTTGGATAGGTTGGGAGAGTTGGTTCTTCATTTGATGTTAATGTTTTACATTCGTTTTTTCTATGACACTCAGGGTATGTCTAACTGTAATCAGAGGTGTGAGTGCAATTCGTGCAGGCGTACTCACGCTAAGTTTAATCTAGGTCACACGGCTAAAAAAGTGCAGTGACACGGGACTCAGCACGGGCCTACTGGGTACCCTGGGTATTTGTGTTCCTAGTCTGTACTGCAGTCCATGCTGTCTCATCACCACTGCTATCTTTAGCTGCACTTGATAAATCAAAGTGAGGTTGGGTATAGCTAGATGTGCTGTAATCACTCCGCCAACTCCAGCATACACATATCCTTAAAGACATATTAATCGGTACCTCATAAATATTAGAAATATGGTCCACCTCTGACAATACATGTATAGATAGAAGAATTTGCTACCCCAGCAATAGCTGTCTCTGCCTTATCATCTCTAGTTAGAATTCCCTTTTTCCTAATGAAAGCTGATTCTGTCTACCAAACAGCCTATTTCAAAATCCACATTTGCGTGGCGCACTCTGCGTTATGAAGTTATTTAATGAAAGGATGAACCAGGGAAGCTGTGCCGAGGAGCTTGACAATATCCCTCAAGAAAATGAGGCTTTCATTTCAAAATCTATTCAACTGAGTTTAAAATAGGGTGCAGTGTATACTCTGTGTGTGTGTGTGTGTGTGTGTGTGTGTGTGTGTGTGTGTGTGTGT